GACGCGTTTCGATTTCCTCGTTAAACGATTTGATTTACGCATCGTGGGCATCCTTGGCCGATGAAGTGTTAAACCGTGACCTTACGCAAATGGCGTCGTTCGCTGAATCACCAATAATTCGATGTTTTGTTTTTATACAATAGATCTAGCCATATGCGGGAGGCTGCGGGCGGTGCTTTGTTTGGGCAAGTGCTTTGTTTGGGCAATCAGTCAACGACCGGCTTCGCGGTTCCCGGCACATTCCGAAGGTGCTCGTCACTGGGAAGATTCATGCAAACGATATGCGAAACTCGCCGTTAGGAGTGCGCGCCCCGCCTCTTCGATTGAACGATTTTTTCGCGATAAAACCATTCCGTTTGCCACTATGCTCCCATAGCTGCCTCGATACTATTAAATGTGTTTCCATTTATAAACAGGCTTACACACAACAGGCTATCTACTTCGAGTTAAAACGTATCCGTAGAAATATTGCTCAATTAAAATTTTCAGCGGAAAATTGATAATGTTCACACCAACTGGCGCGAGATGCGTTAATTGGTGCGCAATTCTAAACGAAGTGTACGCTTAGGTGACTTGGGTCGCCGCCATCATAGTTATTTAATTTTTCGCTCAGTTAAAGTACTACGAGTCGACGGTCGTTTTTTTGTTTACAAATTAAGGTAATGTCACAACCTTTTAAGTTCAACGCTCGCATTATGTGTTTCAACTCTTGTTTTTGGATAGAACTGCATTTTGGTTCTTATTTCTTGGTTGTTAAGGTGTTAGCTGAATATTCTGGAATTCCTCGTGCAATATTGTTGTAGTACGCCCTTGAATACCCAGTTCCGGGCCAATTTAATGTCGTTTAAATTAAAATATGCAATGAGCACAGACCGATATAATTGCGCGCAATCAACTCTCAAATCACGACACTGTGACGAAATTTGTACTTATATTAAAACATGCTCGCATCAAGATTTTCTTTATATTTTTGGACCTAGCGTTGTATTCATAATACCTCTAATACTTGTCCGCATAATAATGAAAAGAAATGAAAAGCTAAGTATAAGTAAGCTAAGTAATCCAGCAATTACATCTACTTAAACTATGCAAGGCTTACGGCTAAAATTAAGAGCATTACTGTAAGTTTATTTGAACGGAAACACGCTTCATATCGGCGCAAGAGACGTATTTATGAGTGGTTATTCTAAGGCTGTTTGGAGTTCCCAGCGCGGCTTGCAGCGTTCAAACAACGCCGTATGTGATGGTACGATCCCATGTAATCTCCCATCTTACGGTCGAGACTATCTCGCCAACGAGGCTCTCGTATCTGATACAACGACGCTTTCCTTGTACATGGGTAATAATCTTTTATGCACTGCGATGAAGTTGTTTACCTATGGATTGGGCCATCGACATCAGATATCAAAAGGCATTCAGACCACTTTGTTAGCTTTGCCTGACGTTCTATTTTGTTCGAACTGTTGTATGCAACTTTGTAAATAAGGTTTAGACACTTACTTTAAAGTTCTTCTAGCAAAAGTCTTTAAGTTTTTGTTAAGTTGATGTGAATATTTATTTTGTCAAGCATAGATGTCAATAACAAAAGAATGTCAAGTAATATTCGACCGATTGTTTTGATATAAGATTATATTAAGCATTGTGTGAAATAAGCTATGACACAATTTGGTTAAGATTGCTTTTAGTGTTGACATATACTTATATGTGAATCTTGAATATTGGTTTGTGCACTCATGCAGAGAAACTACAAGGTAAACAGATTTTTTGTCGTAGACTTCTTTTAAACTATGATTTAGAAGGTTAAATAGTTTTTTTCTGATTTTGTCATATACGTTTTAAACCGCTCGATCTTGAATACCTTTGGTTTTAAATTAAAATATTTTTGCTTGGACATTCATTGAGAAATGTCAATGAATATTCAAGTAAAAATATTTTAAATGCAATACAGTTTAATATTTAATGATAAACACCTTTTTTACTTACTTTTAAATGACAATTTGGTCTACTTAAATTGGGAATTCATTATACCATAAATTTTTGTTGCCTTGAACTTTTAGCCAATATAACCCGAAATTTCAAGAGTTTTAGCTGTTTATAGTCTTGTTAACACTAAAGAACACACAAGTTGGCTGATGGGACGTGAATATAAATGAGCTCGGTAGTAAACATCCACCGCGTTAATCCCTCAGTTAAAGCAGTCTCGCATGCCATGTCACAGGTGAGGGTCACGACAGTCAACATTAGATGACTATGGTTAGCCTGATTACAACTTTGTCATCAATTTCAGAGTCAACCGGTCGCGGTCGTGTCGTAATACGATTACAATCCGATTCGCAAATTGGCAGTGACCCAGTTAAGTTGCCAGTAGGCGTTGGTTAAGGTCCATCGGCTTTCTCAAGAGTTTGTTTGACTATTAGATAGTCATGATTTTCGTGGCAACTATAAAGAAATTTATTCATAAAATAACTGCTGAAATTACATCACTCGCATATTCATATACAGCCTTGAAATGTTTTTAGCAAAGATTCGGCGCGTCACGGTCTGTGGGTTAGTGTAAACGACCTGCGCCGGCAATGTTCACCCAGCTATTCGAATTCATCTCACACCACGCGTCGCACCCGCCCGTCCCGTTACAAACAATGACCCTCTCACAATTACACGCCGATTCGGTTGCACAACCTCGTATTATGCACCGAAACAAAATAATCGAAAAACGGTAAAGAAATTCAATTTGTAAAGCAAACGGTGTAACGGGACCTTTAAATCACAACTAAATGGAAGCGTTCGATGTCCATCACATGACTATTGAACGACTGCGATCAAAAGGATGGTCAAAGATCCAATACGTGCTGGTCTAGTTTCTTCTTATGTAGTTTTATTACTTCTATTTGAGGAGGTAAATACAGCAAAGCAGCAAATAACGTTTATGCAAATTGTAGTCATCGGGACTGTAAAGTCACTTCAACCATAAATGAAACTGCTGAAGGTGACTGCTCTATCATTGCTGTTTCTGCACTAATTAGTGGTTATAAAAGGTCTACGGGGTTTGGGTCGTCAGGTTTGGCAACGCATAAGTGACGGGTTGCTATAGGGTTGGTTTCAAGTTTTCCTTCTCTTTGCAGTGCTGTTTTTCTGCTTAGTTTACTCCCTTAATCGGCTCTTACGACACCCTTGGGATGAATAGGGGTGGTGACAATCTGTATTCTTAATCCGTCGACACAGGGACTCGACTCGACTGGCGACTCTCTATTGACACTGACAGTAAGTTGAAGCATTGTAAATATGTATATCAAAATAGTTATGTAAGGCAATCAACGAGAACATTTTCAATTCTTTGTGGTTTATCAAAACCATGGTTCAGCATACATGGGCCTCCGCTTCCTTAGTTGCTCTTCATCGAGTGAACGAGGTTACCGGTAACGCTCTTGTGACCCTTGAGTTGCAGGTGTCCCATTAGCTCGTTTGCCCATCTATCTACACCATGAAAAAATAAGAACAATAGGTTTATACACACAACGTCGTGCGTGTGCCAACAAATCCATGCCCCGAAATTCAGCAGCCAAATTTTCCTAATTTACCAACGGAGAATTTAAAATAAAGCTGCTGTAAAAAGATGCGTAATTCGAATAGTTTCGAGAGTTATAAATCTCCAGACATTATTCATATGCCATTTGTACGTTATAATTAGAACAATAATATTGATAGGTGAGGAGCATTATAAAAGTGAAAATCAACAGTTAGTATGACGTGGCCATCGCATCCGGTGGTGGTAAGGGTTCTCAGCACCAAGTGGGCCACTTCGCTTTCAAGGAAGAGCTTAGCGAAATGACGGACGACTGATGCACGACCAGAATATAAACAAACCGTTGAACAGTCCCTCCGTATAGGGTTGCCAGGTGGCCGGCCATAGCGACATTGGACTTTTTACGCTTGTCCGGCCATGTGATTACAAGTCCGGTATGTTAATTAAAAGAAAAATTATTTAGCAGCACTCCTAACTATCATTGTAACAATAAAGTTTATTGACGGAGAAGCGAAAACCTCCATTATCATAATTAAATAATTAACTTTTTTAAAGTAGCATCAAGTTTAATGCGCGTGCGTCATGATAAATTGTAATAAACTGTGTTCTTGATACCTTAATTTTGCGATCTTAGGTGTGCTATTTTTTCTCCACATTTCAATTGGACTCAAGCGGAAATATACCCTCAAAAAACATTCTTATCGGTTCATAAGTGACGAGAGTTCTCAAAACAAACGTAAAATAAAACAACCAAATTGGAAACCATTTTTGAAGTCACTTGAAAGGTAGAAAATGGTCTATATTTAAACAGTTCTAAACGATCTATATTTTCGTGTACAACATAACTTATAAACCATCCGATTGACATGATTATTGTACTTATTGTAAATCGATAATTTTAATATCTTCCATTTATAATATATTTACAGTTGATCGATGTAAATAACTAATCTTTGGTTCATATTGTAATTTTATCAACAGTGCTGCTTTATTATCACGTATTGTATTTGACTCATACTTATGACACAGTCCATGTGAAAGGTACGCAAAGACAATTGTATTCTTAATTAAGGGACGTATACACTAGTAGTGTCACAATAAACCTTTGTAGCGTAAATTAAAGAAGAAGAGTGTCAAGGATAATATTTTTAAAACTTTCATGTGAAAAAAGAACTTAGTATTTTGCCTAAAATACTCAACATGAAGTATTTTTTTGTCACAGACTAACTGTGAAAAAGTATTTTTGATCTAATCTGATAAAGGGCGGTTCTACGGTAGTTAGTGTTCTAGGTTTACGTGTATAGAAATGTATTTTATTTAAAAAAAATAACGTATAGATGGTAGGTATAATGTGTCTTTATCACCCCACTGCTCTTATAAAGCTACACTGTTTATATGCTAAAGTTAAGGTGAAATGATAACAGGAACAATAAATTAGGCTTGGGGTACCGTAATCTTATCAGTGTGAGGCTAGACAATGCGCCCGCTGAGATGCGCGTGCGCACTGCTCGGTTATCGCGACCACCCGCGGCCACCGCGAAACCGTCAATACAACATTATTATGAAAACTGGTCAGAAACTACCTTCGGCCATCCATGATCTTAACAAAGCCTCGAGATTTGTTCATAGAGCAGGTGATAATATAGTCACGTCTAATGTAGCTCAGATATATACTTATGGTACTCTGTTTGACCTTGCTCTACAAGGTGGAGGAGACGGCAGATCAAGTTTTTCACCTTAGCAAGTTCAATCAAGATATATCTGCAATCGTTCCTTTAAACATAATCCATTTTACATTACTCACTAACGACTCTTTAAGTCTCTTTCACTTCTTATTTATCTTAGTATTAGTGTACTTATCACTTATTTTCTGTATATTGCGTAGCTGACCGCCAAATACGAGTATGACTAGATGTTCAGACTCTCCACATGTTTATATCTTTATTATAAGTGTTTCATCTTTAAGAGTAGACGTATAGTATGTACTTGTAGAGTTATATTTTGATAAAAACATTCTTAAGATATGCTTTTGACATGAAAAACAATTCTACATAGATAGTTTTGTTACAATTTCTAATTAGGTACCTCTTTAAATATGTAGATGTAAAGTTCTTGGAAGGAACGGAACCCACACACCTGGCGATGTCCCGTAAAAGTCGAATACTAAAGCAACCTATCAAGAATCTCGTTTACTCATAGTCCGAGGGTACCGCCGTTGCTCCACCTTCCATGAAGTCGTTAATGATCCTGGCGACACCTCGTCTAAACGGCCGCATACGCATTCGTACTTAACTATGCAAATTAGTACAGGGTGGCTTCACGCGCTTTATCGTTGTCCGTGTTAAGCTCGCTCAATATTCATTATCCAGTTTAAAATATTTCTTCACTAGATCTGTACAATTTTATGTTTTCCTTCTCTTATTGTCTCCCATGTATCTCCAAGATCGCTCGTCATATAGTAAAGACAACTTCCACACTAAGAAGTATCCTTTTATCAGCTCAAGTGTTATTCACGCGTTGTTATTTCACGCAAAAGTTATTCTTGCAACAAACTTTTCTTTTAACGTAAATGTTATACTTGTTACATCCTTCTGTATGTGTGGGATACTGTAAGAGGAAGTATGACTGCATTTATTTGTCCTATCACCTCGGCCCACCGCCTCCAACTCTATAAGGCGCAATGCTTGGAATACGTTATTTCACTTAAAAGAAAAATTACTGACACTTATTACTCCGAGCTTTCAAGAGCTGACAACTAGAATAGCATACCTAAATTATATTAATTTCTCGGATCTTCACAGTATAATTGTGTACCTTTTACAGTTGAAAATTATATAACTTTATAGGTTTACTTGTTATTTAAAATATATATAATTGAATAACATTGCATTGATCACCACAAGAACTAGACTCTTATCTAGACCGCAATAAATCGGTGCTGCCGATTGCGATCGTACTGCGGTCAAGCGCCTGATTAATGAGTAAATATTTTTTAATTAACGATCTGGCTGCCACTAGGAGTTATTGGTCCGCCAAAGGCACCGCGAGTATGCGCACGAGCTTCGACAGCGCACATAACTTTCGCTCGAGATGCTCGGTTAAATTATATACCCTGTTTGAGGAGTTAATTTGTTTACCATGCTTACTATTAGATATTCCGTAAACTCAATAACCGCGGGGTTGTCGTGATCTACAGCTTCCCATGTTGTGCAACGTCTACTGTTGTTTATTAATGCCTCTGCATTATTCTCTGTATCGTCATACCCATGAACCGGTATAGAAATATTTAGGATCGTCTAAAAGGAAAACTAAACTTCTAACATCTTTAGGGAAGAAAAAATAGCGGAACACCATTGTGTCACTTGACTTAAGACCCAATGAGAATGTTTAACAATAATAAATGAGAGTTGGACAATGTACTTTAAGGATATGTAGAAAGAAAAGTCGATTTAACGTTGAATATCGACCATTTTATTGTAAAAGTTAAAGCGTTAAACGGAGTTCTGATCTTTAATTTTTTTTTATAATTAACATTTCCATATAGTATAAAGTATTGTTATAAAATAAAGATTAATGACTGCCTCCGTGGCGCAGTGGTAGACAATGCGACTGCTGTGCTTAGGTCTTGGGTTCGATTCCTTTACATGATCTACAAATATTTGTTTCGGAGTTTGGGTGTTTTCTATGTATAATATGTATGTATTTACAAAAAAGTATATAACTATTCTATCAGTCAATCTAACTTGCATAGTATGAGCTCTGCTTAGTTTGAAACTAGATGGCGTTGTATGTCAGATGTCCTAAATGTTATTGTTATTAAAAGTAAGGCATTTATATTTGGTCTAAAGTAGGAGATTTCGTCATAGGTTGCACGAATCGTTTACAACATCCTTGTCACGATTGTTGATGTAATATCGGTTACCACGCTCCGATGACACGTTATGTGTGTTTTGTGCAGTTTTCCTACTCTACTGGGTTACTGGCTGACTTTAATTAACCTCTCGAGTTTATGGTAAATATTAATATGAAACATTGATATTCTATACTTATGTAGCAGTATAGTAGGTATATAGTATAGTATAGTAGGTAGCAGTATATTATAGTAGGCCAAAACCTCCATTCTAAGGAGAGGCTTACGTCCAGCAGTGGACTATTAAAGGCTGTTGATGATGATGATGATGATAATGTAGCAGTTGACGCAGATGGCAATGGTTTGTGGCAATTTATCTGTTAGAGACTCAAAATATTATATATATATTCGGCTGTCTACACAATTTAAATGCATAATGATTTATATATTTTATTCATTAAAGTATTTTACCTAAATAGTAATATATATATATATATAAAAGGAAATCTAACAATTGACTACATAGTACATTTTGAAATTAAGGGTACTCACTTCTTAAGAGCATTAGAAGAAGAATTTAATTTAACCTTATTATGTTTTCATAACTGTATATTCGTTCTAATTAAGCTTAGACTAACACAGTTAGAGTTAATCCTTCGTTTGAGGTTGTATATTCTTAAATTGAGTTGAACGAAATGTAACGATGTAACGTTATGAACATTCAACTAAAACTAAACATAGTTAACTAATTTACATATACTTATCCTATACGCCTGAAAGTAAAAGGTCACCTCCACGGGCATGTAACTTGATCTTTGATATAAACGATCGATCGCCGTCAGAATGCAAGTCCCATCAGACCTTTTTGCACACATCAATCGAAAATCTCTGACGTTTGTTTAAGTTCGTTTGCGACCCATTGACTAGGACTCGCATTCCGGATTGTTCACACGTATTGTTGATCGCAACCAGTGAAAATTTTCTTGAAGTATAATATAGAAATCCTCATGGACTATTGAAAGTCACACTTGTGTGGGTCCTACTAGCAAGTTTTGAAGTGAATAGCAAATATATTTGCAATGTAACATGCAAATATGTTTTAGATGCTGAAATTACTTTAAATACCAATGTTACAAGTTAATTATATTGGTTAATAGGTTTCCTTCGACAATAGTTTGAATTTATAGAAAAAAAGTTATAATTCAACTTCAACTTTTGATTAATGGCTTTGATGTGTAAAAAATAACAATTCAAATAAATTTTAAGCAGGCCAAGATCGTGTATTTTTTAATTAAATCTGCAGATTATAATTTTATTTAAATCATAATAAATTAAACAAAATTAACTAGAAACAATAAAAAATAAGCCTCAAAGTGTTTAGATTATTTATCAGAGAGACTTAATAGTTTAAAAATAATATATTTTTTTTAGTTAAAACTATACAATAGGTAGTTAATGTTACATTTCCGTTTAATGTAAAATTAACGTAAAATAAAAACATGACGATTAAGGGGATAATAATGGTTCAAATAAAAAGTAATTATGTATATTAAATAATATTATGTCAGTAAACAACGTAATAGCAAAACATAACATAAAGCTCAACACAAAAAATATAAAAAATATATTTAAATACAAAATAGAAGGATACGAAAGGCTGCTGTCGAATAATGGATTCATTAAATAAATGTTTAACGAAGGTTATGATTATAATAACAAGCGTTTTTTTTATTATGATAACTAACGCTAATAACTAATTTTTTAATTGAATTTTACATAATGTTCCTATTACTTCCTATGTTCCTAGATAGGAATATAAGGTAACGTGATCATCAATTAAGCTTGATTGTGATCAGATGACTATTAGTCATGGCTAGAAATTTCTTCTAGAGATATTACGAATTATCGCCTACCGTTCCGTGTTTCGATACTTTTATTAATATTCGGTATTCGGCCGAATTTTGCATATTAAATCCATCAATGGTGGAAAATTCAGTAAAATTTATTTTCTTCTATATTAGATGTTGAAATAGGCCGAAAGGTTGACAACTCAAAACCATAACTTAACCATTTGAAATCGATTGTATTGACGATTAGATAGTGAGAACATGGCAGTTTAATAATCATGGGAAGTTTTTATTGACACCTTCGGAAAGTGAAGCCAGTCGCATAAACATGTTACTTTATTAGCTCCGCTCACCAAACAAAACTTTTCAATTAATATGGACATGGCTTCTTATCTAATCACGAAAAGGTGATACGCATTTAGAAACTAATGCGATTGCAACAGATTATTATGAATTGATAGCATCCATGTTCAATTAAAAAGGCACCTTGAACCGTATATGCTGTTTCGCGTCCAATTGTTGCAAAACTGTTCGCTTTTGTGGCCAAGAGCCCGCTTCTGATTTGTTTCATACCCAATTCAATTATAGAAACACATGTAAATGTCATACAATTATCAATTGTAATTGCCATCTACTTGTTGCGTTAGCACTAGAACTATGGTTGGTGTTGCCAGCTAACAAACATTCTGAATTTAATAACATGACAATTTGTAGTTAATATAATAGCTAAATCTGAAGCTAACATCATAATATCTAGTGAGTAAGAAATAAAGCATACTCGTATTAAAAACAATGTGTTAGTATCCATTATTACTAAATCACAGAAAAGAGAGGCATTACCTGAATTATAAACATATAAGGTTGGGACTGACAAACAGCGAGGCGAGACTGTGACGCGGCTCAGACTTCAGGCTGGGTTCCCGGCTCTAGTAGTATCAGTCGCGTGACGCCACCAGCTGTCTACCTCAACCTTAAATATTAAAATTCTTGTAGTGACCTACGGACACGGAAGGTTCGCAACATTCCAGATTGACAACCTGTAAG